AGACAATTAAGTGGTCTTATCAACAAAAGCTTGATCTTAGCAAACATTCCTTCTTACAGCACTTTCTCAGTATCTTTACACAACAATCAGTAACTAGTCTGTGTTTGAGCCAGCAACCTGCTGTGCCACAATTCTTATCTTGCAACAGAGACTTATAGCCTGAAGAAAATTTCCTGTCCTTGGAAGGTCAATATTTGAAACTGCAAGACTTTGGAAAACCAGGCCCTGTGAAGTACATATGCTTTTTAGTATATTCCACACTGAATAACCTGTAGGCAAATTGTGCATTTCCCTGAGCCTTGGCTTCTTCATCTGTAAGATGGAAGTAACAAAACCTGCTTTGAAGGACTGCTCTGAAGACACACGCTACCTCACACAGTCCCAGGTACGCAGAAGGTGTGGGATAAACAGAAGCCACTCTTGTTGGAAGTGGGAGCACCTTGCAGCCTCTTTTATCCCCGACTCCAGCCACACAGAGCCACTCAGAGTGCCCTGGGGGGCCACACTGGAGCAGATCTCCATGCCTTTGTCCAAGCTGTTCTCTTTACCTACACTGCGCTTCCCACCATCTCCGCCACCCCCAGCAGCGCTGACCACCGCCTCCGCGTGCCACGCTGTGCTCTCTGCGTGCAGGAGGAGTCTCTCTCCCTCACTGACCTGAGGAACCAAGTCCAATTCCTTCAGCCCAGTAACTTTAAGCCTAAGTGACAATGGCTTGTAGTGGGGAACAGAGGATGGTAGTGGTCAAAGGCAGGAGGGCCACCTCTCATCTTGAACACTGAAAGGATGTCCTGGACCCAGCCTCTCCAGAGGAAAGGGGACCACATGCCTACAAGGGCTCTAGCCACAGCAAGAGGCCACAGAACAAAGATTTCACTGGACAAGGAGCAAAATGATAACACCAAGAAGGACCCAAATTGTTCCTGACACTGGAAAAATGAATCCTGCTGCCCATAATGACTCAAGTCTGTACAAGACAAGGCTGGAAAGAGCCATGGCCATCTAATGACAAACACAGCTGATTCTGGATTCTGGCTCTCCGATGACAGAGAAGGGAGCTAGACAAAAGTTTCCTTTCCGGGGATCTCCTGAAGCCCTTCCTGCTCTGCTCCCAGCCAGATCAGGGTCACTGGGCTCTGTGGCTTTATCTGTCAGAGCTCTCAAGAGGCCACATGTCACCCCCTCTTTCACAGCTCCTCCGCCCTCCATGATACATGCGAGGTCAGGGGCCATGTTAACTCACTCCCTGCTGTATCCCAGCACCTCACATCAGGTCTACCAGGAGTCGCCCACCCTCAGCCAGCGTTTGTGGAGTGAATGAATACAAGAAAGTGGAGGAGCCCAGATCCCAGTGGCTGGAAATCTCACAAGGTGTAAGGACTCCTTGTAAATGGGCTAACCTCTCAGTGGAGTGCTCCTGCACTCAGCAGCAACTGTTTACAGAAGGATTCATGTGTATTGCAATTTTATTGTCACAAACCACATTCTAATAGGTGGAACTATGAGGATTAAAAATATTTTTTTCTTCTAAAATTTTATTTTAATGAGATGCTGCCCCGATCCTCTACCCTCTTCCCCCAAAGTGAGTGTAACCTTCTACATTATGTGCTGGCAAAGTTATCTGAATGAATGATTCTATAAACCTAAAAACCTATACAATTGGGGTTCTGTACAAGATCATTCCATAAATACAAATGCTTTGGAGGGCATTAACAATTTTAGGTTTAGTGACAGAAATAAGCATTTGAAATTTACAGCCAAAAATGCCAGAAATCGTTAATATCTACTAGCATTAAATGTCCTTGATACCTACCCTTGGCAGACATACCATTATCTTCAACTCTCTTTAAGAGATAAGGAAATTGACCAAGGTCATGGAGGAGCTGGGAATTTGAATCCAGGCAGTCTGACTCATCATAAATTGTAATATATTATAGATTATCTACAGAACTATGCTGTTGAAGTCAGTAGTCACTAGCCACGTGTGAGTACTTAAGTTAAAATTAAATTAAGTTAAATTAAAATGTCAGTTTCTCAGTCACACTAGCTACATTTCAAGTGCTCAGTACCCACATGTAATTAGTGGCTACCATATTGGACAGCACAGATAAAGAACATTTCCAACATTGTAGAAAGTTCTACTGGACAAGGCATTGCTATAGAATATTATAGTGTATTTAAAATCTAATAAAAATTTTTTTTTTTTTTTGGTGGCTGGACCCTTGAAGTTGGTGTTATCAGTGCCACACTCTAACTGGGTGAGCTAACTGGCCAGCCCCAAGAATTTTTTTATACCCCAGAAAAATGCTTATGATATACTGTTCAGAAAAATAGAATCCAAAACTGCACAAGAGGTTGGAGGATTGGATTATGTGTAAATACTATTATTTTGTTTTATATTTTTATAAACTTTGCAGATATTTTAAAAGGAGAATAATTTATTTATTTTACTCTTATAACCATGAAATAAAAACCCAGTTATTTTTCTAAGAGAAGGTCGTATGGGCACTTACCTGTCCAATTTGTGGAAACAAACTGAAAGAAACTGGTACCATCAGTCCCATCACCAGGAAAGTACTAGTCAGTTTTACGGTCCATAATAACCGTGGATTTCGTGGGAAAAAGTGGGTCCTGTAAGAGACAAGGTCCAGCTCACAGTGATGCTAAGCATTTCAGGGCCTTTTCGTTAGAGGCCAGCCTTCTCCAACAGTGGCTAATTCCATCCTGCATGTGGCACAGGCCCACATCTTGGTTCCCAGGCAACACACAAAGAGGCAATCGAAACAGCTGCAGGGACCCAGTGCTCAGTATGGCACAGGCTCGGTGTCAGCCCTTCACATGCATGTGCTCACTGGATCCCACACGGCCTTCTGAGGTTGGTGTCACCAACGTCCTTTCACACAAACAACGTCCTTTCCACTCCTTCTACCAGGTCCAGTATCTGACCGGTTTATTTTTTCATGTTTTTAGTTTTGGTGGCTGGCTAGTAAGGGGATCCGAACCCTTGAGCTTGATGTGATCAGCATCACACTCTAACCAAGTGAGCTAACCAGCCAGCCCTGACCAGTTTTATAAGAATTTTGATTGTCAAAATGTTCATTCCCACCTGGGGAGATTCATGTACCTCTTACCTTTTAAAAAAGTAGGTGAAGACTTCAGGAATACTTCTGACTATAAAATGTCCCAGCCCCTAGGTAAGACACAGCTCTATTACCAGCATGCTTGTGTGCTCAACTTGAACAGACACCCCCACCCCGGTCCTGCTCTGAACTCCCTTCCTTCCACGTGCAGCTTCCCATGACTTGGCTACAATCTGCCTTCCCTGGCTGCCCGGTGCCCCAGCTCTCTGCACACACCTCTGCCTGGTAGACTATAGATGGGATGACACACTCATGCTCAGCTCGTGCTGTCCCTCTGCAGGGAACACCTTTCCCCCCACGAGACAGAGGGAGCCCAGGAGGGTCTTTTTTATTTTTATTTTTTTTGTCTTTTTTTGGTGATCGGTAAGGGGATCGCAACCCTTGGCTTGGTGTCACCTGCACCGCGCTCAGCCAGTGAGCACCGGCCATCCCTATATAGGATCCGAACCCACGGCGGGAGCGCCGCTGCACACCCAAGCGCCGCACTCCCCCGAGTGGCCACGGGGCCGGCCCTGGAGGAGGGTCATTTTTGAAATAAGGTTTTAGGGGGCTGGCCAGTTAGCTCAGTTAGAGTACAGTATTGATAATGCAAATCGGATCCCCGATTAGCCAGTCACCAAAAAAATGAAAGAAAGGAATGTTTTAGGATTATGAGGTAAAGTCATTCAACATTAGAAAGGGAAAAGTGGCTACTGAGCATAGCGTGTTTCCACGCCAGTGGGGTGAGGCCCGCCTGCCTCTCTCCATTTCTCTCACTTATAAGAGGAAACGCTTTCCAAACAGCTTTCCAAACAAGACACCGTGCTCAGGGGGGCTGTTTGTGAGGCTTATGAGGCCAGTTGCGGGAAAACAACCTCAACTAGTCTCGGTAATCTGATCAAAGGTGTCCTGTTACAATCAGATACTTCTGATTACGCAGTTTCTGAAATTTTAGCCAAAGAAAATAAACTTTTTGGTGACAGGGAAATGATAAAAGAACGCTTATGCTTACTCACAGTTGCAGACACTTAATTCTTAAGAGAAAGATAAACTTTTTCTTTTACTTTTTTAAGCAGACCATCAAACCTTTTCTTTTACCCTAAATTGGCCCTCATGCGGAAAAATGAAGCTCCTCCTGGTGAGATGGATGGTAGACAGCGGCGGGCCTGAGGCTGCCTGCCCACTGGGAGGCTGGGCGTCCCAGCAAGAAGGGACGCTGAACCACGACGGTTTGGGTCCTCAGGGACCAGCACAGTGCCTGGCAAGCCAGAGGTGTTGGGGCAACATGTTGATTAAACATTTGTTCTCCACTCTTGAGCTTTTGAAGAGGTCACAGCAATACTAACATCATGAATTTAAGATTGATTCAGTCTGGGCTGGTAGCTCAGTTGGTTAGAACATGGTGTGGTAACACCAAGGTCCAGGGTTTGGATCCCTGTACCAGTCAGCCATAAAAAAAAAACAAAAAACAAAAATAGAGTTGAAGAGAAATGCAAACACGTGTCCACACAGAGCTGCAAGTCAGTGTTCAGAGCAGCATTATTCATAATAGCAAAAGCTTGACACAACCCAAATGTCCATCGCCTGGCGATGGGTAAGCAGGATGTAGTGCACCCATACAATGAAATGCACTCAGCAAAAAAGAGGAACGAACAACTGACTCACAGGATGAGATGAATGAAACTCAAAAGTGAAAGAAGCCAGACACAAAGAACTATTGTGTGATTCATTTACATGAAATTTCTAGAAAGGCAACACGAGGAAGATATAATGCAGATCAATGTTTCCCTGGGACTGGGGTGGGAGAGGGGAGTGACTGTAGATGGGCAGAAGGGAAGATTTTAGGGTTATGAAAATGTTCTAGAATTGGACTGTGAGGGCCGGCCCGTGGCTCACTTGGGAGAATGTGGTGCTGACAACACCAAGTCAAGGGTTGAGATCCTCTTACCGGTCAGTTTTAAAAAAAGATAAATAAAATAAAATAAATAAATAAAATTGGACTATGGTGATGGTTGCACAACTGTTTAAATTGACCAAAATTTGAGTGTGCTGTCAAAAAAAACAATAAAAAAGTAAACTGAAAAATTCAAACTGTACTCTTACAATGGGTGAATTTTACAGTATATAAATTACACCTCAATAAAGCTGTTTAAAAAATGTGTTTTTAGGGTGGTTTCTAAGGCACAGAACCTTCATTTCCAACTGTAGACATATTTTCTTTCTGGCAGCAATTTATCCCTTTGTTACATATAATTATTGTGTCCCTGTTTTAATTCATTTAGAAGAGGCCACACTAGTAGATGGTCTATAATTCAGCTATCAATCATTGATAGGATTTACAGTAATAGGTTTCACGAGCCGTAATGAGGTATTTACAGATCAAATGAGCAGTCATCTATTGTGACCTCCTCTTCCACCGACACGCTGGGCAGTAGAAGGATGCCTGGCTGGCTAAGGGGGTCTCCCTGAATGGGAGAGGCCAGGTTCCTCCCTTCACTTGGTATTAGGGGCTGTCCCACGCTGTTCTTCCCGCCTCACGTAGTAATCCTTCAGCTAGTCATTTCACAGAGACCAAAAAAAGACCTCACCTGCTAAAAAATGTATTATTTAAAAAGTAAGTCCACACCCAGAATGAAACTACCACAGACTATTCCAGGTACTTACAGTTGAATGCACCCAGAAGCCACTGTGTTGAATTGAGCAAAAGAATAAACAAGTTAACAGTTAAATGTATTAAAAAATTGAGGCTTTTGGGCCGGCCTGTGGCTCACTCGGGAGAGTGCGGTGCTGTTAACACCAAGGCCACGGGTTCGGATCCCGTATAGGGATGGCCGGTTGGCTCACTGGCTGAGCGTGGTGCTGACAACACCAAGTCAAGGATTAAGATCCCCTTACCGGTCATCTTTTAAAAAAAAAAAATGAGGCTTTTTATAAATGTTTTAAATGAGAGCATTGGATTTCCCAATACCACCCTTGACAAAAATTGGTCCTCAACGATGAAGACTGTAAGAAAATCTACTGTGAGGTGAAAGAGGGAGGGTTTCTCTTAAACCCAGGGAGGAAAATGTTTTAAATGAGAGCATTGGATTTCCCAATACCACCCTTGACAAAAATTGGTCCTCAATGATGAAGACTGTAAGAAAATCTACTGTGAGGTGAAAGAGGGAGGGTTTCTCTTAAACCCAGGGAGGGGTGTCCGCTGACCCTGTGAGTGCAAAGCAGGCTGGGGGAGGGGGAATGGCCTCCAAGAGGGATCCCCAATCAGCATCTATGGGGTGGGTGGATATTGAACTTGAATAACAAGATCTCACACTCAGAGAGGAGCCCAGACTTGTCAGTGCCCATCTGTGACGATCAATCTCATGGGTCAACTTGGTGACGGTATCTGGTTATTTATAACACTGCACTTAACCAACTGAGCTAACCAGCCAGACTGTACTTGGTTATTTAAACAAGTACTCATCCAGGTGTTGATGCAGGGGTTTTGCTGTGGGATGTGGCTAACATCTATACAATCAGTTGATTTTAAGTAAAGGAGATGGGGCCGGCCCCGTGGCGCACTCGGGAGAGTGCGGCGCTGGGAGTGCAGTGACGCTCCCGCCGCAGGTTCGGATCCTATATAGGAATGGCCGGTGCGCTCACTGGTTGAGCGCGGTGCAGGTGACACCACGCCAAGGGTTGTGATCCCCTTACCGGTCACAAAAAAAAAAAAAAAAAAAGACAAAAAAATAAGTAAAGGAGATGACCCTCCATCACATGGGTGGGACTCAATTCAGTTGGACTCATTCAGTTGGAAAGCCTTAAAAGCAAAAACTGAGGTTTCCCAAAGAAGAAATTCTGCCTCAATACTGCAGCACCAGCTCCTGCCTCAGCACCTGCTGGCCTGCCCTGCAGATTCCCAACTTACCAGCCCCACAATCATGTCAGCCAACTCATTAAAATAAATCTTTTAATAGATATGTACATACACTCTATTGATTCTGTTTCTCAGGAGAACCCAGAATAATTCACCATCTTTTAAACATCAGGGGGCAGAATCTCTCTCCGCATGACGAGGGAAGACAGGGTAAAGAAAGGTAGACATGAATTTGTCACCAGCTCTCAAACAGAAAATCCAATTCTTTCCCCAAAGCTCCAGTTCCATTGTGTCCCCTACCTTTTGTGCAGCTCTTCTGGAATGGCCTACAACATTGCCTTCCTTGTCCATGACCTTGATCCCGCGGACAGGCTCAAAACTTCGGGATGCAAAAACATTCATTCCACTAACTTGGGCTGTTGATGTAAAGAACAGAACATGCAATGCAGGGATGAGCTTCAGTCCAGCGGAGAAACATCATTCCAGGTGTTTGTCCACTTTAAGCCTCTTTTGCTGACGGCTGCCCTTCTCCTGACCCTCGGGTCATCACCTGCCACAGGCTATGGAGGTAAGATCTGGCTACTCAATCTTGGATCCTGACTACAGCCCAGCACCGGGTACCTACACCCCTGAGGGTCAGCCCAACTCCCTGACAGGATTCCAGGAGAAATTATGGGATCCTTGAAATATGCTGCGTCTTTGCTTCACCTGGTTTGACCACGTTTCTGTAACATAATTTCCCCAATTTCACCACTGACATCATTCTGCCAACTTTCAAACTGCTGTGATTCCCAAGGCCCAATTCAGAGCATGAACCAGTGAACTTGCAGGCTGGCTAACTCAAAATACTCAGCGAATATCTCTGTCACTCCCTCTGCAGTCTGACTAGCAGGGAGGGATCCCTACACTACCTAACACTTGCTCACTGTGTGACCCTACCCAAGTTACTTAACCTCTCTGTGACACAGTCTCATCTGGAAATGGGAATAAAAATATTTCTTACCTATGAACTGTTGTCAGGATTAAGTGAAATATTGTACGTACTGGGTTTGTACAGATAGACTTTAAAATATAATTTGTGTTTCCAGGCTTGTGTTCATCCTTTGGCAATTAAAGGGGTATCTACAGAGAACGTGTCGCCTCTCATACCAAAGACCTAACTTGGGCCTGGGGACCCTGGCAGGCTATAAACAGCAGCTGTCATCAGTCACAATGTGGCCAAGGGACCGGGTTTCTCTGAAGATGGAGGAAGGCTCAAAGACCTGAAACACAAGCCTCAGACTGTGCGCCCCCAGCCCCTCCTGCTCACCAAGAACGACCACAGGTAAGGCTCTTTTGATCCAAAGGTTATCTAGGGAATACTTCATTTGGACAAAAAGAGGGATTAACTAGAAAATAAAAGAGAAAAATCATTACTGCATGAGATGAAGAAATCAGCTGAACATACTCAAGAGCAGAGAACTAACACCTGAGCTAGTTCCTGTAACAGGTCAGACTGTTCGTTGCCAGTGTGCTCCAGGTATTGATTTGGTTTTTTTTGTTTTTTTTTTTTGTCTTTTGTCTTTTTCCG